ATCTATCTATCTATCTATCTATCTATCTATCTATCTATCTATCTATCTATCTATCTATCTATCTATCTCACTCTGTTCATATCTGTCTGTCTACATCATTTCATATCTGCCTATCTTCATATTTATCTGCTTAGATCTCTTCATATCTATCTATCTATCTATCTATCTATCTATCTATCTATCTATCTATCTATCTATCTATCTCACTCTATTCATATCTGTCTGTCTAGATCATTTCATATCTGCCTCTCTTCATGTCTGCTCAGATCTATCTATCTATCTATCTATCTATCTATCTATCTATCTATCTATCTATCTATCTATCTATCTATCCGTTTAGATCTCTTCAGACCTATCTGTTTACTTCATATATGTTTATATATCTATCTATCTATCTATCTATCTATCTTCAGACCTATCTATATGTTTAGATCTATCTATCTATCTATCTATCTATCTATCTATCTATCTATCTATCTATCTATCTATCTACCGTATTCTTGTTGTCTTTCTTTTCGTGTTAAGATTTTCCCCCTACCTTTCCTGGCGACTCATAAGCGCATAAATCTCTGTAAATCACCCGCTTCTTATTTTACGCTTTCCCGTATGACAAAACATTTGCGTGTCTGTATGTCCGTCCTACACACGTTCTGCTATTAAGCGACCAGTCAAAAATGTTATGAGACATTTTCAGAGACCCGTACACTAAAAACACCTTCACACTAAATGTTTGTGATGGTCAGTTAAAAAGATGGAAATGAAAGTGAATTAAATTAGCGGTAAATTTATACTTTTTTGTTTACCTGTCGAAATTTTGAATACCGTAGAAATCAACCTTCTCTAAAATCTATCTTTCTTTTTTCTTGCTTCACCTTTTAATTATTCTCTTTCTTAATTAAATTTTTGTATAAATCATATTCTTTCTTTTTCTATCATTCCTTCTCTTTTCAATTATTTTCTTTTAGTCTTTTTTCGTTTCCCCTAAAATCCCTTTTTTGTTTTGCTTTTGTTACCATCGTCGTGTGTTATTCTAAAAACATTTTTCTTTCTTTGTCTTCGATTTCTTTCTTTCTTTATTTTACTGTTTTCATTTTTTCCAATTTTCTTTCTTTGCTGTTTTGTCTTTGTATTTTTCTTAGCGTCACATTATTCTCGAGAATTCTTTCTTATTTTCTTTGTCCTCGAGTTCTTTCTTCCTTTCTTTCTTTCTTTCTTTCTTTCTTTCTTTCTTTCTTTCTTTCTTTCTTTTCTTTCCTTTAAACATCTTTCGTCTTTTTCTTTTATTCTCCTCCTCGTATTCTTCCTCCCATTTCTTTCTTTCTTTCTTTCTTTCTTTCTTTCTTTCTTTCTTTTTCTTTCTTTCTTTCTTTCTTCTAAAATTTTGTCTTTTGTCTTTTTCCTTTAATCAATCAATCAATAAATCAATATTTCTTTCTTTCTTTCTTTCTTTCTTTCTTTCTTTCTTTCTTTCTTTCTTTTTTTCTTTCTTTTACTTTCTTCATTTCTTTTAAACTTCTTTCGTCTTTTTCCTTTAATCAATCAATCAATAAATCAATATTTCTTTCTTTTTCTTTCTTTCTTTCTTTCTTTCTTTCTTTCTTTCTTTCTTTCTTTCTTTCTTTCTTTCTTTTCTTCCTTCCTTCCTTACACACAGTGAATGTATTCTACTTTTAAAAAAAGATTGTGCGCCAAACAGTTTTAATTAGATTTCTTTACACAAACTTTTTAAGCAGGTTGTAACCACTTTTTGAAAAAGAGGGTTTTTCGTTATTTTAAGCTTACCTGACAATAAGGGGACATTCCCCCCAAAAAAAGGAACCGCTATTTCGTTACCAATTTGCTTCGAAGCTGAAGAAATGGAATTTCCTCCCGAAATTGAATAACCCCCTCCCCCCCCTCAAAAAAAAAAAAAAAAAAATTATCCAGCCCATTCGTTCTTCTTACATGACACAAAAAATAGCCACGAAAGTGAAATTATTCATGACTGTAATTATATATAAATATTATTTAAATTATGATATTTTGAGCACTTAATTTATTTATAAATACAAATTATACAAAAAAAAGGTAGGGTTATTTCTCTCAACGTCTTGTATATATACGACTTGAAACATTTTTTTAATGAATATGAATGAAGAACAGTCTTGTTTCGCAAAGAGTCCGAGGAATATTTAAATTAGATATTAATTATTCATAAATGATCTTCATTTGTTTTACTCTCTTTTGTTTCTTAAATGTTTTTTTCTTATTGTTAGTTTTATTTTTATTTTTTTAACCCTGTAATTAATTAGATATTCACTTCTAAATTGTGTCGTCTGGTCTCGTTTGATTTACTCTCAAACGAAAGACTTTTTCTTGCCATTTTATTTGTTTGTTTGTTGGGAAAATTGGATTTTTGTTGATTTGTTCAGGGTTGTAATTTTAAAAGTTTTTTTTTCTTTTTCAAGAGTCGGAGAAAGAAAGAAAGAAAGAAAGAAAGAAAGAAAGAAGAGAGAGAAAGAACTTTTTTGATTGTAACGAAGTGAAAAGGGGAAAAGTAAAAAGCAAGAAAAGAAAAAAGGAGAAAAGAAAACGAAAAAAAAGAAAGTGAAGAAAGACAAAATAATAATAATTTTAAGAAGAATAATAAGAAAAAGAAGAAAGTGTAGAAGGAAAAGTAGAAGAAGTAAAGGAAAAAATAGAAGAAATAGTAGAAGAAAATGAAGAAGAAGAAGAAAACGTACTAATACTTCTACTACTACTACTACTAGTAGTAGTAGTAGTAGTGGTAGAAGAAGAAGAAGAAGAAGAAGAAGAAGAAGAAGAAGAAGAAGAAGAAGAAACAATAATAATAAGAAGAAAAAGTAAAAGAAAACAAAGAAAACGTAGTAGTAGAATAAAATGAAGAAGAAAAGTAAGAAGAATGAAAAAAAAGAAAAGGTCAAAGAAGTGAGGTGAAGTAGAAGGCAAAGGAGAAGAAAAATTAAGAACAAAGAGAGAAACGCGAAGAAAAAAGAAGGAAGATAGAAAAGGAAGAGAAAGATGAAGGAAAACAGCGCGAATCATCCTTAAGATTTTTGAGTTTTTAACTTCAGAGTTATAACATTTGTTGGCATTATTAAAAAAAAAATTATTAAACTATACAAATCATGTCTTCCTATCAGAGTTGAGTATTGATGCGACGAAAATTATTTTCACCTTTATTCCGTATTTCAGTTGTTTTTTAACTATAAAAATGACCGCTTATTAAAGTAAAAAAGAAAGAAAAGAAAAGTAAAAAAAAAAAAAAAAATAGCTGTCTGCTTTATTTGACGGCTGTGTTGGAAGATTGAACGATGCATAGCATGGTCCCGAATTTCATATGCCGAACCATTGAGCTGAGTAAAAAAAAAAAAAAAAAAAAAAAAAAACACATTTAGAAAGAAGAATTAAAAGCTGACACCAAAATTTTCTTTCTATGAAAATTAAAATTTAAAACATAAAAAGAAACAAAATTCTTACACACAGCCTTCCCAGCAAAGCTTTTTATTCATTGTTGTCGCAAAATAAATCGCCTTATTTACATTCGTTGTGGTTAATCTAAAAAATGCGCACTCCACATCACCACCCCCCAAAAAATAACGCATGCAGACATATATACACACGCGTAAACCCACAAGCGCGCGCACAAAGAACTTAAGAAAAAAAAAAAAATAAGAAAGAAAAGAAGAACGAACGAAAACACGCTTGTGCTCTTGTGAGAAAAGTGCCACATTCAAATAATGGCCCGTTCCAGGTAGTTTTCGGTCATTATTGAAATCATCGAAAATCTTCCTTATTATTGGCGTTGATTTATTTTTTCTGATTTTCATCATAATTTTGTGCCCGTAAAATATCGTTTACACTTTGGTTGGTGCCTTTTTTGAATCAACATTAACTACTGACGTCTGTTTGTCTCTTTATTTTCGCGTGGTGTTCGTTGTGTCTGGTCCAGTGGACGCAAGCTATTTAACCAGACAGTTCGCCCGTCCCCACCAAAGATGAGGGGAAAAATCATTATATGACAACAACAAATTAAAATTAGTTTAATTTCTTCATTTTATTCATCATTTTGGCTGCTTAATCTTTACTCTGGCATTGGAATTTTTACAATTTTGTGTGTAAATTTTGGAAGCGGTCACGTCGAAAATATTCCATTAAATAATATTTAGAACTTAAAAAATACATTTTTTCTTTTACTATCGTGATCATAGAATTATGTTTCCTATATCGTCTGTGATATTGATGGAATTGACTGCATTGTCATCTGGCAGACGATATGTAGATGTTGATGGTATTGATAGCATTGTCATCCGGCAGACGATATATAGATGTTAATGGTATTGATGGCATTTTCATCTGGCTGACGATAGATGGATGTTGATGATATTGATGGCATTGTCATCCGGCAGATGATAGATAGATGTTGGTATTGACTGCATTGTCATCTGGCAAACGATATATAGATGTTGATGGTATTGATTGCATTGTCATCTGGCAAACGATATACAGATGTTGATGGTATTGATTGTATTGTCATCTGGCAGACGATATATAGATGTTGATGGTATTGATGGCATTTTCATCTGGTTGACGATAGATAGATGTTGATGGTATTGATGACATCGTCATCCGGCAGATGATAGATAGATGTTGATGGTATTGATTGCATTGTCATCTGGCAAACGATATATAGATGTTGATGGTATTGATTGTATTGTCATCTGGCAGACGATATATAGATGTTGATGGTATTGATTGCATTGTCATCTGGCAAACGATATATAGATTTTGATGGTATTGATTGCATTGTCATCTGACAGACGATATATAGATGTTGATGGTATTGATGGCATTGTCACCTGGCAAACGATATATAGATGTTGATGGTATTGATGGCATTGTCATCCGGCAGACGATAGATAGATGTTGATGGTATTGATTGTATTGTCATCTGGCAGACGATATATAGATGTTGATGGTATTGATTGTATTGTCATCTGGCAGGTGATATATAGATGTTGATGGTATTGCTTGAATCGTCATCTGGCAGGTGATATATAGATGTTGATGGTATTGCTTGAATCGTCATCTGGCAGGTGATATATAGATGTTGTTGGTATTGTTTGCATTGTCATCTGGCAGATGATATATCTGAGAACTATTAATCGAATCAGGATGTTATTATTAAAAGTAGTATATTCAAACGAAAAATTTATCTATCTAGAATGTGTTATAGCAGACGATGGAATATGACACAGAATTCCGAAGTTCGATTGGTTTTGCAAAGATCCCTTCTGAAATCGTCCTGGGTATGACAATAAACTACATCCGGTAGCAAGGTCTCTGATCGGGAGACTCGTGGTTTTGAAGAGCGTGGAACAACCCATTGACTGGTAGCATCTTTTATGACCCAAGCAATAAGGGCAAATAATGAATCCCTAAACAAAAATCAACACATAAATGACCAAGACGACTATATAATAAAATGAGCAACAATATATTTTTTATAGCAAAATAATAATCAATCCAACACTAAAAATATATAAAAAATAAACTTTTATAGTAAAATTATCAGCAATACATTTTATGATCTACAAAATATATATCTAAAAAAAATACCTTTTCTCTAAAAGCATAAAATTTATGTACAAAAGATCTGTAGTTGAAAGCATAAAATTACATAGAAAATATTTAAATATCGTCATTAAATAAGTCATAGAAGTTGATATGCCACTAAAGAAAATCAACCAACTAACAGTACCTATTTATAGAAAAATTACCAACAGTACATTTTATCTGTAGTTGAAGGCATAGAATTGCCTTCAGAAAATATTTAGCTGAAGCCATAAAATTGTGCTCAAAATATAAAGATTTCGGTATTAAATAACTCATAGAGGTGTTGACATGCCGCTAAACATAATCAACCAACCAGCCTCCTAGAAACTAAACACGATATTAAGAAACAGAAAATTTCTTCCGGTAACAAAGGTAAGAGAAACCAAATGTTATGTATGGCAGTTAATGTTGGACAGTTTCCTCACGAAAGAAGAGGAGACTTGAAGCAAATGCGATGTGGTTTTAACAGAAGGATATCGAGAAATCCATGGGAGCAACATGGAAGAAACGATGGATTTTTAATGAAAAAGTAACGAAAAGGACGCCTATGCTTAGGATCAGATAGAGAGAGTTGATATTTCTGGGATACATTGAGGCGCGTTGGGATAGGGAAAAATGTCTTCCAAAAACTAAGCAATGCATTATGGAACAGAAAGGATTTCATTAGAAAAAAAGAAGTACTTAACTGTTATGTAATATCAGTCCCCATATCTAGCAATGAAGGCAAGAGAATCTCAACACCGATGAAAGAGAAACTTGAGGGTATAAATATTTGGTTCTACAGGAGGATACTGAGAATACCATAGACTGAACATGCGAGCAATGAGGAAGCTTTAGAGAAAATGGAAAGAAACAGGGCAGTTATACTTAGCATCAGAAAAAGACAGTTGAGCTT